GTCGGTGTTCGCCGCTGGTGTCGCTATTTATGGCCCTTTTGAAGCTTTAATTAATAAATGTATCATTGCTGGCGCCCCAGAGCGCTCGGGGATTGTCCTGGCTGTCCCGGGAGGTGTGTGCAGCGCTGAGGCTGCTGCTTCGCCTCAGCACGGCTCTGGTCACTGCCTGGCAGCGAGCTCTGCTCACTGACACAGAACGTGCAGTTTGTTAACCAGCTCTGCAGTGCAGAGCTGCGATTCCCCCAGAAGCTTACACGGGGCACACGTGGATCAGACAAACCCCTGGAAGGACAGATAAACGACTGGCACAGTGTTGGTTTACAGCATCTTATTTACTCACCACAGCAAGCCAAAGTACTAAGGTATGCACAGTGATCAGAGGGAAGGATCTGTATTTCTGAAACAATGCCTTGTTTGCATCTCATTTATTGTGTTAGGACAAGACATGGTTACATGTAGGGACAGGGGAAACACCTTTGATGTGAGGATGTGCACAGAACCAGGGTTTGCTCACAAAGCTCTACTGAGACACTGCAGCCACTGGACACAACATGCTGGCCTGTCACACCACACAACTCCCTCTCACGTTTACATGCAACACCACAGCCCACTAAAACAACTGGGAATCTGCTCCCACAGAAGATGCACCGTGACAGATCAGCCTCTGTTTCCCCCCGGCACACAGGGAAACCCAGATGTACACCTGACCATGTACAGGTAGTGACAGGAGACACTGTTGGACATTGTGCACACCCAACCCTCACACAGCTGATCAATAAACCCCAAGCTGTGGCTGGTGCATGCACAGACACGGGGAAGGGAAGTGACACCTGTGAACTGACATGAAAAAGGATTCTCCTGGATTTCGGGACCAGCCAAGTTCTGGAGCACTTGGACTCAGAGCAGGAACGTGTAACAGCTTGGATTTCAGGACCAGCCAAATTCTGGAGCACTTGGACTCAGAGCAGGAACGTGTAACAGCACTTCTGGAACGTGAGGAAAGTGTGACACAGACAAGAGTAAGAACTACTGCTGTCGGCTAATTGTAAGTACCATTATCTCACATTAACAACTGAATTGACTCTTTATTCATATCACATCCAGTGGAGTAAACATGTACCAGTCAGAGACACACAAGTGCCTCACAGGGCACTTGATGCTCGTGGGGAAACCGAGATGACCTTTGACAAAGCACAAACACACCTATGCAAACACAGAACCAGAGCATGAAACCTCTATGTCTAAGCCATGACTGTTTTCCCAAATGAAGGTTAAAACTGTGATTACCCAACAGCACACAGCTGGATTTTACATATGTATGTATGTATCTAAAGTCTGTAAGAAATGAAAGCAGTTGTTACAACTCAACAAACAGGATTAAACTTAGGAGTACTTGAATACAGGTGCAAAACACTGGTATGACAGAAAACCCCACTATTAGAAGCAAGAAGTTTATAAAAACTCAGAACTTAATAAAACTAAAAGCAAGTCCTCCTCACAGGACTGTCCAGTTAGAAATGGACTGCAAGGCAAAACTGTTTCTCTCTCTTTTACCAATTCTCTACTTGCAAGAGGCAACTTGAAAGCTTTCTTGATTAGCTTTTGTTTGATGTGTGTCCTTTCTTAAATATCACAGACTTGAGTATGAAAACACACCTTCTTTCTGTTGAAAGATCTGGCAAAGTTGGGGCAAGGAAGGAGATGGTTTCACCATGAATGATCCATGAGCTGGTGGGAGTGACTGACACACCTTCCCTCAGCTCTTATCACCAACATCATGGCTCAGGCTTCAGCTTATTGCAGGATCAGTAACAGTCTGAAAGTCACCTTGGAACAAGGAATGTAAAACATCACTGGAGGTTCAGAGTGTGCTCAGAATAATAGAAGAGAAGCATGAAATCATCTCCCAGAATTTGCAGTTTACTTTCAACTAGGATACACCTTTTTTTTTCACTGAGCAATTGCAACTTTAAGGGAGCACCAGGTCTGCTCCAGGGCCTGTCTTGCATTTCCAGCCACCTGTTTGTGCTTCTCTCCATTGTGTGGGGAGCTGGAATTGCATCTAGAATTTCCCCAGCCAGGAGCTGTCTGTGGAGTCTGACCCCACAACCCCCAGCTATCAATCATAGTCAATTTTAACCTTTGTGATAGTGTTCAGGTTTGGTTTGTCGCTGCTGCTCCTTCCATGGACAGAAGTCAAATGCTTTTTGAGAGCAGACTTGTGTTTGAAGTCCATGTCGCAGCAGTGGCACTTGTAGGGCCTGTCCCCACTGTGGATGTTGAGGTGGTCCTGGAGGGTGCTCTTGGCAGTGAAGGTCTTCAGGCACACCATGCACTGGAAGGGACGGATGCCCATGTGCCCTCGGATATGCCTGTTGAGATTCTTTTTCTGAGTGAACGTTTTGCCACACTGCAAACACAGGAAGAGTTTGTGCATTTTCAGGTGCCTGAGATAGTTCTCGAGGTGCAGGAACCCCCTCGGGCACTTTGGGCACTGGTGCCGCCAGGAGGTGCCGGAATCCTCCAAGTTCTGGAACCCATTCGCAGCACTGGAAGTTCCTTCTGGATTGTCTCCTCCAAGTTCTGGAACCCATTTGCAGCACTGGAAGTTCCTTCTGGATTGTCACCCACAAAAGCCTGGAAGTGATTTCCTGACATTTCTGTGTTCCTGCTTTCCACTGTGGAATTTATCAAGGAGTGCTGGGTCTCTGGGAAGTATAAATTTGTTTTAGAGGAAGTGCAAGGCTGAGGAAAATGATCATTTTCCACATTGGCTACACTCATGGAATCCATTCTAAAGATACAGATTTCATCATCTTTGTACCCAATTTCCACCGTTGATATTTCTGGGGTTTTTGAGTCCTTCCTATCCGACACCAAACTCTGTGCCACAGGCCGTGGGCTGTCCCCATCCTCCTGCTTCACAGGGTACTCCTCGTTCTCTGGGCTGTCTTCAGAGATCTCAATGATTTCACAGTCTTTATCTAACAGCTCATCCCCGTTCCTCAGTTCAGCGTCCGAGGAGTGGCAGCCCTCTGCAGCCTGAGCGCTGCCCTCCATGGAAGCATCGATCTCCAGGTACTTGGAGAGAGCCTCAGTGCACTTTTCCACGATGTGAACCATCTGCAGGTAACTCGCGGCCGTGAGGTACTTCAGCAGCTCCTTCTTCTTGACTTCCAGCGCTCCCGTGTAGCAGGACAGCAGCAGCTTCCTGCCCACCTCTGCGCTCTGCAGGATGGTGATCCGCACCTGCTTGGACTGATTGAGCAGGAACTGATCCCGCATGAAGGTGGAGCAGGCGGCGAAGATCACCTTGTGCCCCTGGAACTCCGTGTCGTTGATGTAGATGGAGACGTCGCAGAAGAGGTTCTGCTGCCGCAGGAGGTTCATCTTCTGCAGCACGGCATCGCCCTGCTGCTCGAACTGGAAGTGC